GGGCTCTCAAGTGTTGTAAGTTCTTTGTTCAAGAATGGACAAAGTGATGCTCACATTATCAAAAGCCTCTTGACCAAAAAGTGTCGAGGTTACACAAATACTTGGCAAAGCATTGTCTCTGCTGATGGAGTGAAGGAAGTCATTGATTTACAGCACAAGTGGGCTTCCTTTTCTTAAAGATATGTGCAACAAAATTATTTGTCAATTTGACATCTGCAATCACATTTTCCAAAGCAGTTTAACAGCATGCCACAGACTATCATGACATGTAGCCCATCAGACGACTTTTCTGGTTGCCCTGGGCTTCCGTGATACCACCTTTGACAGCTGTTGATGACACCTACATTTTGGCAGTGAATAGATTCAGGGTACATTGCTCTCCATCAGTCATGACTCGTGCATAGTGAGAACTTCAACCAGACTGAAGTCCAAGAGGGTGTTGTAAGGATATCCTGGTGACCTAAAAGGCTTACATGACCCTGAATCACTGGGGTTTGCCACAATCATTAGATAATCATTATGATGGCTGAAATTATAATTGCTGCTGAATTGACAATAGTCACATTCATGTGTAAACCACCCAAATTCTTCTGGAAATAGGGATACATGTGCTAATGGACACTAGTAGTCATTTTAATGATTTTTTTTTTTAATTCTCAGTGGCAGTTTATGCTCTTAACTCTTCTAAGGAAAGAGACAGGTGAACGTGAGCAGCAACAGCCAAGTAAGTCCCCTGCCAGAGAAGCAGGAACTCTTGAGGTCACAAATTATCATTATAATATTGGCCTCAGTCTGGGTAGAGCATTCATCAGAGATGAATCATTGCTATTAGAGGCAGGGCAAAGACATAGAGGATCATTGCAAAGGATGCCTCCGCTATTTGCTGTAGGATTGATAGGGCAATAACTTCAAGCAAAAACTTCTAATGGTGCAACCTAGGCATATAGCAGGCCATGAGTTTGATATGAAGTGGAAGTCATCCAATCAAACAACCTCCATGTCAAGGATTCATGAGAGCATGTTGCTTCACACATGGACAACTACAGTAGCATCCTAGGGGCTGGCCTCCTAGTCCATTCAGTCTGCACAACACACTCACTCCCGAGACAGCTCCATTCTAGCACTGCCCCCACCCTCCTCAGAAACCACACTGAAAACCCTTGCTTGGATGAGAATTTGACCCTTCCAGACTGACAGTCCTGGGTTCCACTATCTCAACCCTCTTTTGTATCCCAGCTAGTGAAATCACTATCCACATATTCCTTACCTTGAGGCTAGTCTCATGCTTGGAATGGTTTCTGTGCCCTGCCCAGTCCCCCCGAGTCTCCCAGACCCTGCCCTGCCCCTCTGTCTTCTGTCAAGTCTCCCTAGCTTCCTCATCCTTCCTCCTCTGAAATCACTCATTCAATCCCAAGATTCTTTTGAGCACCCACCACATGGGTATAGAGAGTCTTATCAGATAGTCCTCACCACTCCTCTGGTGCACATCATTTCTCCATCACATTGTTAAGAATCTTTGACAAGCAATGTGCCTGTCGTTTGGCCCTCCTCTGCCCAGTTGAGTCTTCTTGGCATCCTCCACAGCACATGGCACCCAGCCTGATGTAGAAGAAGGTCTGCAGGCCCTTGACTGCTCTGCCAGTCCTCAGCATTTTAGGGGAAATGGAATTTGTCTTGTGCAGTTAATGCCTTGATCAGGAATCACAGCCTACTGACCTCGTTTGCTCAGTGGTGTGTCCTTCCCTCAGGACTTCTCTGAGCAGTAAGTCCTCCACTCCAGGAGCCAGAAATTCAAACTCCAAAAGCTAGTCTTAGGACTGCAAGTGTCTCCGAAGTAATGTCTCCCCGTCTTTGCAATCAAGTCGGAGACCCCCTAACATCAAACCTCGGTTTTATTTCCTGATTCAGTTGAAATATGAATAGATGCCAGTGCTTCCCTTGAATTAATTTAAAATACGATTTCTACAGATGACATCGCCAACTTTGCATGAGTGCCAAGAGCCTCACACCTCGGCTGCCTTGGCTGCGTTCATTTCCTTGGTGAGATCTCTTTGAAGTCAGACTCTGAGGTGAGAGCTGTGGCCGCCATCAAGGAATCGGAGCAGGCCTAAGTGAAACAGGCGTCCAAGAGCACACTGGGGGAACACAGCATGGATCATCGCTACCCTTGGCCGAATGGAAGCTATTAACATCAGTGTGTTGTAATACCTGGGGGATATTAGAAAACTCCCCACAAAGCACTGCCGAGCTTTGGACATGCTGAGATGGTGGTCCCAAACTTTCTCAAAAAGGGAGCAAAACTGAGAAATGCGTCAGTTTGCAGAAGGCTCTCGGACCTTAGAATGGCCCCGCGCCCGCCCCTGCCTTGCCCCCAAGCTCTGCTCACCTCCTCTGCCAGCGCACCACTGCAGGTGCCTCTGGCTCTGACACCAGCGCTGTGTGACCCTCAGTTAATGAGGCTAGAGCCCATGAAAGGAGAAGGGCGCGTGGGCAGGGACATAAGTGGTGCCATGATTTAGGAATGTCACAGCACTGTTTGGAAGCCAGTGTGCACTTAGGGGAGAACCTGGTGAGTCGTTTGCATTTGGCTTTCCTCTTCTTTCCACCCAGAAAGCAAGCAGAGCATCTCATTACCGCATGGTGAGCATGGGCTCGTGTCAATCTCGGAGCAGAGTGTCTCTCTGCATTAGTGTGTTCCCCCGCTGTCAGCTGCTGTGCCTCACTCCGAAGTTTTCTCCCAGGCTACGTACCACACCCATGCCTAAACACACTGATATATGGCCCAAAATAGAACCCAGAACCCTGCCACCTGAATGAACCCAGCCTCCACAGGCTTTCAACGCAGGCCAACCAGATGGAGAAGGGCTTCTCAGGTTATGACACAGGAAACCAGAGAGGATGGGACAGTCACAAGGGGGGCCACAGGGCAGGTGTGGAAAAAAAGTGTCCAGTGTAGGTGCAGAACAAGAAGACTGCTCCCCATGCCTCTCCACATTGCCTGGGGGCATAGGAACAGCTTTTGAATCCTGAACTGCTTAATGCAAGACCACTCATCAATAAAGTACTTATGCGCTCTGATCTATTGATGTGGACTCCTCCTGACCTTGCTGGCACTGAGGGGACCTGTTCATTGCTGATGCTGCGGGCAGACTTCAAAGGCCCTCTCAGTGAGACTGCAGAGCAGCAAACGCCCCAAGGGGCTGCTGACCACTCCAACAGTAATTACTTGACCTTTATCAGCATCCATTGACAACTGCCACTGATACTTAGTATTTGCAGAGCTCCTCCATTAGCGCCATCCACAGGGACTTCTGCAGTGGAAGCAACAGCCAAGTGTGGAGGGGGTAGTTTCTCTGCCAGGATCCTTGCCATGGAATGGTGAGGGCTGGCAGTTCTTCTGAAGTCCCAGGTGCATACAGAATCCCAGGGAGAGCTGAATCTAGAAACCATTCATTCAGAAGACATTTACTGAGAAGCTCTGTTCAAAGCCCTGTGGGAGTACTATGGAGGCAGAAGACAGAATCATTTATAAACTCAGTCCACAAGCAGCTTATTGTCCACTGGGAAATTACAGAGAAGATGCAGTGACTTCTCTAAGAGCAGGTCCCCTCCAGCATCTGCTAAGGTGGTGGGAGCCAGATGATAGAATGGAAAAGCAAGTACTTGGGGGTCTGCAGACCTAGACTCCAGCCTCTCCATCAAGTGGCAGCTGAGCCTGCACTAGCTTATCTACTAAAGGGGGCAGGACTAAGGCCCACTTCCTAGAGCCATTGTAAGAATGGGGAATGAAACAAAACAATATACATGAAGGCACTTCCTGAGACTCTGTTATTAATATGTCTTGGTTGCCGGCAGGCCATGTCACCACAGTTCACATCTGGGAGGTGGACGTGGAGGACGCACAGCAGAGCTGAGCTGCCCAGACATCCTGTGATGTGTGGAGGGGAAAAGCACCCAACTGCAAGCCCCAGGACTCTCCCAGGGGAGTCCATACTTCGGGAAACACATATTTCCATTTTGTATCGATTCAGTTTGGCCTCAGCAACACAGGAATGTGATACATGCTTCCATGGAGTACAGACACGCTGGGCATTTGCTGGCCCTGCTCGTGCTCCCTTTCTTCTCCACACAGTGATTGGGTCCAGCCAGGACCCTCTCATCACGCTCTGCATGACCCCTTCACTGAAGCCAGAGGCTACTAGATGCAAAGAAAGCCTTCCCTGCCACCTGTCGCAGAAACCCTGAACCTCTAACCTGTCGGCCACAGTTCAAAACATATCGTTTAACATGCATGTTTAAAGCTTCAGGTGTTGGTAGCCATGTCACCTCTATTTTAAGAGTTTTGAACATTTGTTTGTGACCCCAATTCTCTCAGGCCTTCAGCAAGCATAGGCTCCTTGACTGTCATCACAGAGCCAGCAGGTGGTTCAGCTGGGAATGGAGTCTTGCCTCCCTGACTCCAGAACCTGGGCTCCCAAGCACCATGAACACTGGGTGCTGAGGCCCCCAATCCTGCCAGAGTGTCAAGGAGCTGACCCCTGACCTTGAGAGGAGAGCAGGATGTGGGTGAAAGGAAGGAAGGATGGAGAGAGCAGAGGCAAGGATGTGAAGGAGCGTGCTCTTGTGGGGAAAGGGTGCAGCCCCCCACCTAGGCAAGGGCACCAAGAAGCCCACCCTCTGTCTGGCTCTGAGCAGATGTCTGTGCTGCTCTGGCAGAAATCACGTTATGCCCGCACCAGCGCTAGATATTGTTTTTGAATCAGGTGTTTTCCCCCTTCCCTCTATCCACTTCCTCTGTGACATGGGGTCATGTGTGATTTTTCTCTCCTGCAGATGCTCATCCCCTGCCTCCCCTCCACCCCAGTGTCTCCAGAGCCATTCAGATTCTGAACAGGCTCTTGAGGAGCCTGCTACAGAGACCGTGGCATGAGTGCTCTTGAGTTGCGTGTGCAGATGCTGAGCAGAGCCCGATGCCTCACCTTTGGGCCTGTCTCTTGCAGATTATTGGGACCATCCCTCTGATGCCAAATCCGGGACCATCAAGCCAGGCAGCAGGCGGCACTCAGGGCCTTCAAGTGCAGCCGATCACCCCCCAGCTCCTGACAAATGCTCAGGGCCAGATCATTGCCACGGTCATCGGGAACCAGATCCTGCCAGTGATCAACACCCAGGGCATCACGCTGTCACCCATCAAGCCTGGCCAGCAGGTAAGCCCCCAGGGCCCCTGTCCTTACCACCCTCCTTCTGTTTGGTCTCAATCAATGAAAAGTCATTTTTAAACAACAAAATAGTTAATCCCGCTAATCCTAAACTATCAATACTAATCAAAAAACAAGGAGTTTTATTTTTCATTCCTAATGAATATGGGTGATAACCAGAAAGCTCTCTAATTTAAAAATATGAATACATTAAATTACGGAGACAGTGACTTAAAATTCAATAGGGATGTGTTGTTACTTATCTATGCCTATGATACTTTCAATTTTCAGACAATTTTAAAAGGGGTCAAGAAGAAATCAAGACTACTTATGTCTCAACTGTAAATGAAAAAAAAAATTATTGAACACCAAGCATTCCCAATGTGATGCTGCTGAAAAATGAGCAGAGCCCGTTGTGCGATGAAGCAGAGAATGTGCTCTCATAAGGCAGGTGTGCACAAAGCTTAGTATCATCCCAGAGATGGGGGTGACCACTTTGTCCAGAGATTTTTGAGTTCTTACAGAGAAAATGGTTTGGAGACTGAGCCTTGATGGATGAGGAAGCATTCACCAGGTAAATGATGAGCACAGTGTTGTAGGCAGTGGAATCTGGAGGAACAGAGAGGGGGAAATGGGAAGGAGAAGAGTGAAACAGAAGCAAGTTTCCTGTGATTAGAGCACAGAGGGAGGCTGAAGACAGTCATGGAAAGGGCTCTATAATCAAGCTGAAAAGGATGGATTTTGTTTCTGTGTTATCTTGAGCACATTACACATCGTCTTTGTGCCCAGTTTCCTCATCTGTAAAATGGGGATAATCAGTGCCTACCCCACAGAGCAGTTGTGAGGATTAAATGAATTAATATACATATGAAGTGGGTAAAATAGTGCCTGGCACACAGCAAGCACTTATATCTTCATGATAATGGTAGTGATGATTTACCCTGGGAATCTACAGGAGATATTTAAAGAGAGGACTAGCATGCTCAGCTTTGTTTTTCAAGAAAGCAACTCTGGTAGCAGATGGAGGTTGGCCTGAAGTGGTGAAACATCTATTGTAAACAAACCATTTAGGAAACTGCAGCAAAACACAAATAGGAATTCATGTGAGCATGCACTAGGTAGTGGAAACGAAGGGTCTGGAATCATAGCAGAGTTCAGGACAGGATCTGAGAGCCATGAGTACATACACAGTAGCTGAGAGCAAATAAGGAAGCATGAGGGGGGGAGGGCAGGAAGGAGGATGAGGGGGTCATCTTGGAAACATCAGCTTTTAATGAATAGGAGAGGAAGGAAGAGAGAGAAGAAATGGCTGGGTCTGTACAAGTGGAACCCAGAGTGTGAGGTTCTGGCATCCAAAAATTTTTTTAAACTAGCAAGTGAACAACAGAGTCAAAAGCTGCAGAGATGAAATCAGGAAGAGCTATGCAGAAACATCAATTCCTCTATTTATTGTAACATTTTATTAAAGTCTGGGTCATCTCTGTTGGAAACAGTTTGAAACAAGTGGGTGGATGAGTTAAGAAGCAAGGTGATGGGCAAGTTAGAGGGCACATGACAACGGACAGGGAGTGGAGAGAAAGATGAGTCCTGACAGTGAGCATGTGACCAAGGGAATGGCTTCGTGCATTGCTAGGAAACTGTATAATGTAAAGTATTTAGCATGCAAATAAAACACAAAGGAAATGGGAAGAAGAAAGCACTGATTACATCAGTCATCATTCATCTGCCAGGAAGTGAAAGGATCCTTCCAGAGACCTCAGCCATTTGGCTTCTGATCCAACATAAATACAGCCCATTCTTGGTGGCACTCAAAGGCTATGCTTGGAAATCCATTTGCTTGTACAATAAATGTAAAAAAATCCACTTCATATGAATATTTATTGACTGCCTACTCTTTGTCAAGCCCCTGGAAGCTAGGCTGGTGGACAGGACCCATACCATGAATGAGCCTTTCTTTCATGGAGTTTGCCGTCTACTGAGGGAGATGGACATTTATCAAAGACTTGCACAAATATGACTTCAGATCTACAGTAAATTCCATGGGGGCGTAGTGAGGGCACCTATGAGAGTGTCCAGCAAGGGGACCTACTCCAGGGAGGGGGGTCAACACCAGGAAAATCCAAGCCAGATTTGAACACATGTCCCAGAGACTGAGACCTCTGTCTTACCCCCGTACTCACCCTAAATCAGAGTCACTGCCTGGGGAGCTGAAGTGCCCAGCCACCCTCCTCCCCTTCAGCTTTACCACAGGCAGCAGGGTGGTCTCTGCCAAACATGCCATTGAGGGCTTCCTCCCTCACCCCGCCTCCGGCCCCATCTCTCAGCTGGATTCTTTCACTATTTACAAGATCCATTGGATTGTTTTACCTTCTGAATAGTTCCCCAAATAAGACAAGTTTCTCTATCCTTCATTGGCTTTGCAAGCCCTAGTTTTATCTGTTCAGATTTATGTTAAAAATTATCTGTAGGAGGAAAAATGAGGACAACAGCTTATTTTCCTACAATCTGCCAAAAACTATTTCTGTCAACAAAGCCAAGTTGTAAATTGCCAGAAAGGTGATGAACAAATTAGAAATCATCAGCATTTATAAAAAAGTAGCTCTAAACTCTCACCTTGAATTTCCAAGGAGGGTGTTTGGGTGATAGACTGTTGCTGGTATAAAATCACAGCTCTAGATTTGAGGTAGTGCGGTTTTAATCCAGGAGAAGGACCTAACCAAAATACGGAAAGTAAGAGGCACACAGTGCCACTCCTCAATGTCTTGCCCACAGCAGACATTATTAATCTATTCCTACAATCTCTCTCATGAGCACAAGACACAACTCAGAAACTTTCTCTCACAACAGAAGTCACACCTGTTTGCCCCTGGAATTAAACCTCTTTACCACTGTGGGAACATCTGGCCCTCTGCTGGTCTAAGCACCATGAATGTCCCCTTCACTATAGAATTGGAGATCTAGTGACTGGGAAGAAACAGCCAGCCTCTTGGCTGTCTTGCAAATCCAGTTACATCCCACATCCCAGAGAACAGGACCCTTGTCACCAGTGTATGTGCACGTACCTCTCATGCATGTGCCTGCTGACCGAACATATGAACACAGCAGAAAAGAGTGAGAGCCCACCTTCCATGTGAACAGTAGGTGCTCACTGGCCTTTTCCTCTTGTTCAAGGCATGCGCTTGTGGTTTAACCTTGTCCCAGAAAGATCAAGGGAGCTGATGGTGAACCTGGTCAGGAATATCAGGGAGATAGTGGAAAGAGGTGAATGACTATCACTATTTCTTGGCATCAGCTCTGGTTGAAACACCTTGGAACATGTAGTAAAGTTAACAAGTTGGGTGAAGCAACAGGAGATGCACTAATCTAAAGCCTGGATATAAAGCTGGGAATCTGAGGACAGCAGATCATAAAATGCCCAGAACCCAAAAGTAAAAAGCTCAGAGCTGGAGATAGAAAGATAGTGGTCTTCAATTTTTTCTTTAAATATGACCCTTTACATTGAACAAATATACTATGGACAACCACTAAAAAATAAAGGATTTCTATCATGCAGTAGAGAAGTTTCTCAGTTTATTCTTTCATGTGATTTATGAGGAATGCTTGATCTCAGAAGAGCACAGTTCCAACACTAAAACCCATCATAAATTACAGGAGCAGAGAGTTCCCTAACTCATACTCAGAAGGAAATCCGTTTTCATGGAGTGAAGTACAGGGCTTGTGGACCAGATGACCTGGGGCATTTTGTTTTAATTTAATAAAAAATAATTACATCTTTAATATAACCTTTACCTCTGCCTACCATTAATTGAAAGAGCCTGAATAAAATCTAAAAGTGGAATGTCAAGTACTCTAGATGATGATTTGCTCAAATTATGAAAGATTGAGAACCTGCAAAGTTATCATCTGTAATAAAAACAATATTTTTTTAAATATATACCAGGATCCAATTGCCCTCGATATAGCTTCCACAGTAACCCATCAGAGATCCTTGGTGAGCAATACAAGAAGATAAAAGCCAGAAAAGGACTAGATACAAAAGAGAGAGACAGAGATAGATAAGTATCTTTCCATACATGTAAAAAATTACCTACTACAAAACATTTGGTGAAGCTCAAAAGTAGCCATTTGTTCCCTCTATGGGATTCTGCAGTGACTATGGATTATGATGAACTCCCCCAAAATCAGAATCCCCCAGATCCCCGGGCATTTTTTGCCATGACTATCCTGTGACAGTGAATTAATCATTTCTTCATAAGCAGCACAGACATCATTCTCATGTATGTTTATTATTCCCTTGACTAAGTCCAAAAAAAAAATTTGTGGGAGTTTTTAGTGTAATTAAGGGGGTAGAAACAGTTAAAAGAAAAATGTTACAGTTTGTAAAAACAAAGCATGGAATCTTTCCAGATATTAAACACCATAGCTATAATGCTTGAAAACTGCCATACATGAAGGCACTCAGTTTCTCTCCAAAAAGTGATCTTGGTGCTGATAGGAAGCAAAGGAAGGTGGTACATTTAAACTCACTGTCTAACATGCCACATGATTATCCAAACCCTTTCATTTTTTTTCAAGCAAGTATTTACTTGAACACATCAGTGGTTCCCAATTTTTTCTTGAAGCCACCCAGAATGAGACATAATGGAGGCATTTCCACCCACCAGAGAACTAAAATAGTGTGGGGGTTTTCCTAGGTGAAAGAAATGTATATTAGTGACCCCAATAAAAGACAGCCCTTTGACCCTCTAGCCATGCATCTGGGCATGTCACCTCCCTTGTCAATCTTGTCACTCCCTGCGAAGCCCAGCTGACATGGGGTATGCTCCCTGCACACTCTGTGCCCCTGGCCTGGAATTCGCTTCCCACCTTCTCTGTCTGGCAAACTCCTGCCACTGTCCCACAGTCCAGGATCCCTTCTTCATGACACTTTCCTGCACCATTCCCTCATCTTTGGTTTCCCCAGACCCCAGTGATTTTCATCAGACTGTACTATCATTAAGGAGTCTGCC